TATATATATATATATATATATATATATATATATATATATATATATATATATATATATATATATATATATATATTATTATTATTATTATTATTATTATTATTATTTATAAATATTCTCTCAAATTAGACTTTTAGTTGTTGCAGCAGTTTCATCTCGATTAAAGTATTGTAGTAAAGCATACAGTGAACTTTATCAGGTTCCATCTTCAATCGCGTTAAATGTAACGTTTTGTTCTATGAATTGTCAATCATCAATTCTGATTGAGTATAGACAACATTTAAAAACTAAAAAGAAAACTACTAAATCATTGTTACAGCCTTACGAACTTTTGCAAGCACCTAATAATTTCCAATGCACAGTAGTGCGCACAGTAATTAGTAATGTAATAAATATTTCCATAACTTGTGTATCGTGATATTTAAATGCGACTGTGTGCCTCAGTTAACAATAATATTTTCACAAAATTTTCACATGTAATGTTAAATTGTGTAAAATTACGTTAATATTAAGTTGTGTAAAATTACGTTTTGTAGTAAAAGATGAGAAGAATACGTAAAGATGTGTATAAAGTGCTTTAATTTATGCAATCCATAAAATTTAGATTTACAATGGGCGATCGGTCTGAATCGTTGCATGTTGAAAATTGTCGGCTTGTGGCCGCCAGACAGTAACAACATACGTGAACTTTTATTTTCGAAACTCTGTCGGCTATTCAATATCGTCATATTGATCTTTGTACTTACGATACCGGCCTTGATGTCACTGATTAGAGTATGGGGTGACATGATGTCGATAATAGACAACTTACAATATACCTTACCTCTGTTGATCACAATACTGAAAGTATCCATCATGTGGAGCAAAAAGAAAGGTGCATATATTATTTAAGAAATTATTCTTATAAGAAGGCGACTCTTCCTTGAATTCTTTCAACATATGCGTCTGATACAACGTGTACGTCGTTTGTGTGCAGATAAAACTCATGAAACTAAGCAAAATATCCTGTACCATTTTGCAAAAAATCACGATAATTTGATCAGCAATATGTCAATTGCTTTAGAATTTTCCATTCAAAATCTTTTCAGTACTCTTCTTCCAGATAGATTCGTGTTATATTTAGATTGTTTTTCTTTTTCTGTATTTTTTTATGTATAAACACTTTAGGATTTTCCTCAACAATAATGTTAAACTCAAATTCCCTTATTATTTCAAACATATCTCACATGTTATCTCCAACAAGTATTCCATCATCTACATAGGTTCCTAAAATCATTCCATTCGGTCATTTGAGCAAACAGTGCTTGGTTTTCAGTTGTTTGAAGCCAGGAAATCTGATATTAGTTCCATCTTTATATTTCGCGCTTTCTAGCTGGAATCGCGGTTTAGGATTTGACAGTAACGCACATAGCGAAACGCTAGTTTCTTTTCTTTTTTTATATACAGTGCATTCAAAAAGTTCCAGCACTGAATTTTTTTTAGACGCACTAATATAACATCATCTATGCAATGGTGGGACTAGTTAGTATAAAACTTTGTGAGTCTTTCCCACATTTCGCTATCAAGTCAGCACTTCATGTGCAGTCCATGTTTCAGGTTTGTAAAATTTATTGGCTTGTCACGATTTTCACATGAAACAAAAAATCACAGTAAAATTCTTCAAATGTGGAAAAGCGCGTCGAAAATATTCGCAATAGTGTAAAATACATACGGAAGAAACTGTCGTAGCAAGATGTTCTAGTGATATTCACATTTTAAGAATGACCGTGAAAAGAGGGGCGCTCCTTAACAAGCAAGACGTGTGACAATGTGGAATGTATGTTTTTCTAACCAACTGCCGGCTAAATGAGCTTTGTACTGCAAGAATCGTCTTCTGAAAAGAATTTACCGAGTTAAACCGGAATTACACCAGTCAGGAGAATGATTTCTCCTGCACGACAACACTCTGGTACATTCGTCGCTCATTGTGACAAGATTCTTGACACAAAAATTAATCGCAGTCATTAACCATCCGCCGAATCTGGCTCCAGTAGACTTCTTTCTGTTCCCAAAATTGAAGGCAACCAGACCCTTTCAAGAATGTAAAATCCATTAAGAATAACGTGACAACGATTCTAAAAGACTGAGGAGTATTTCCAGGTCTTTCCAGAAGTTATACAAGCGCTGCCAAATCTGTATAGAAAAAGAAAAAGTGTATGTTGAAAATTAAAAAATAAAAATTAGTTTATCTACAAATTTCAATTTTTCATAGCGTCAGTCCTGGAATTTTTGGAGTGCACTGATTAGTTGTCTGCAAAATGGTACAGAAATTTTTTGTTCAATTTAACGAATTCTATCTGAACACGAGCAAACGTACCAGGTGTAGAAGTATGAAACCGGAATTTTTTTATACAAATAAGACGTCTGTTGTTCGAAAGTGATAAATAATACTTTATTCAAAATAATTTCCACTGTTTTGAACACATTTTTCCCACCTCTCTGGCAGTATATGAATGCCGTGCCAAAAAAACTTTTCATCTTTTGAAGCGAACCAGTTATCTAGCCATTTTTCCACATTTTCATACGAATCGAAGCGTTGGTTAGCGAGAGCGTGTCCTAGCGATGCGAACAGGTGATAATCGGACGGAGCCAAGTCTGGAGAATAAGCCGCATGCGGTAGTAATTCCCAACTGAACGACTCGATCGTTTCCTTGACCCGTTTTGCTGTATGTGATGGGGCATTATCATGGAGCAAAATGACATTGTGTTGCCTTTTTGCATATTCTGGTCGTTTTTTAGTCAATGTTCGATTTAAATCGATCATTTGTTGTTGGTAGCGATTAGTATTGACGGTTTGACCAGGTTTCAGCAGTTCATAGTTCATAGTTCATAGTTCATAGTTCTTCGTTCCTCACGTCAAAATCACCACTTTTGAATTTTTTAAACCACTCGAAACACTGAGATTTACCAAGAGCATATTCACCGTAAGCTTCGACAAGCATTCGATGTGATTCTGCAGCAGTTTTCTTTAAATGATAACAGAAAATCAATGCTGTCCGCAAATCATAGTTAGTAGGCTCGAAACGTGACATGTTTAAGGTTATACAAAAATATACTAGAGAATGAAAGTTGGGGTTATGTTTGTTGACAATATTCGTCAGCTGTTAGGAGAATATAATAGCGCGGCAGTAGCGGTCTTACGGTCACTAAACTGAACGCTGGCACCATTTATAGGGGAATTCCGGTTTCATACTTCTACACCTGGTACATATTATGTTACCTTATAGATCTGCATATTTGAAACACCGATACATTATTGTTCCTTGTAGTTTTAACGTCATTAATCAACATGATAACGAACGATTGGATAAAAACGAAAGTAGAAGAGGAACGAAACGTTATGCTGCGATATGCTAGAATCAGTCGTATATTCGCTACATGCGGTGGATTCATGATACTTTCAACATTGATTTTTGGCCTTATTTTTCCATGTTTCGGATTGACAATCAGGCACGTGACGAACCTGACCGACCCTGGAAAACCCTTACCAATACAATCGTATTACTTGCACGACGTATCTAAGAGCCCACAGTTCGAGCTGACGCTTCTGATACAAGGGATCGGGTTGACTTTGTCAGGTGTTACTTACACCGGGGTGGATACCTTCTTAGGCTTATTAGTTTTGCATATATGCGGCCAAATGGAGAATCTACATATGCGTTTAACAAATTTGGGAGAGAAAACAAATTACAAAATAGCTTTAAAGTATAACGTCAAAGATCACGTCCGATTAATCAGGTTTTAAAATTAAACTCCTAAAAAAAAATAAACTGCGCTTAAGTATAACTGCAATAGACTTAACAAATATGGTATAAAATGATATTATTTTATGAAAAATGTGCAATTACAGGTCCATCCAAATAATTGATAATACTTTCCATTTAATGCTGCTCGGTCTATTCTTCTTATTTGGTATATTGTTTTGTCTTCAGGGATTTCTAATAATTAATGTAAGTAATAAATGTCCCGAATTATGCGTTTTACCAAAACATTCGTCAATAATCGGGACTTTCACTTAAAAATCGCAAAATTTTGACAAAATGCGATACTATCGTTTCTTTTACCATATTTTTTATATATGACACTACAAATTTTGAAGCGTTAGATGCTCGTTTTATGACAATACAGGTTGTTCATCAAGGAAGTCAGTTATCATTAGTGCAATTGGTTTCGTTCCTCGCCGCCAATATATGTGTTTTGTTGCATACATGTCTCTACTGTACAGTCGGTGAATTACTCGTGACACAAGTAAGTACAATAATATAGTAGTGACTTTTTTCATAACAATCTACATAGAATTTTCCACTCCTCCGATCTAAAGTGTTTTGTACAATTTTTTTCTATGAACAGAAATAGTTAAATGATATATAATAGTTTACATTAGCATACATTATAATTTAAACAACTATTATAAACTTGTTAGAGGATGAATTCGTTTTTCTCCATATAACCAAATTAATTTTTCTATAACGTAATTTATGATGTGTACAAATTGTATTTCTTCAGTCTGAAAGAATACACCGTGCCGCATATGAATCAGTGTGGTACACCATTAAGCCACAAATAGCAAGGAACTTGACATTAATCATGCTGCGCGCAAATAAATCACTCCGTATTACAGCAGGAAAAACGTTCCCCTTAACAATGGGCACGTTTTGCCACGTAAGTATAATATATAACAAATAGATTATTACCCACACAACACGTATGTCTAAAAAATGTTTTAAAAACATTTTTTATTATCTAAAGACATCTTAAAAACATCTTACTTCTGATGTCTTTTAGACGTTTTTCAAACGTCTTTATAATGTTTATGATATGAAAAAATTCATAATAATCATGAGGAAATAAGAAAATCATGAGAAAATAAAAAAATAATTAAAAAATGAGAAAATTATGACTAATGAGAAAATAGATGCTTTTTCTCGTTATTAAGAAGTAATTTATAACAGTAATTCATCACAAGAACTTAATAATAATACATTAGTAATTATCATTGTCGCTGTAATTATTGAATTACTCTACCCATACAGCACAAATCTTCAAAAGACATTCTAAAGACGTTCTAAGAACATTCATACATCCTAAGAACGTTCTAGAACATTCTCTGAAGATTTTGTGCTATCTGAGTATAGCAATAGTAACCTTGTAATTTAAGTACTCAAAAAAAATTACTTACTAGTAATAAAACTACTGAGCAATAGTAATTTGTGACCCACCAGTAATATTTAATATTACTGACCCACCAGTAATATTTTTCTGTAAGGGATATTATAGTTTAATATTTGAAAAAGTACTTAATTATAAATATGTATACCAAAGCACACCAGAAGAAAAGCTCAACAAAGTTATCTATTTTTCATTCACTATTACAATGTTGCAGTTACTGAAAACATCGGCAGGCTATATTTCTGTGTTACTTGCCAATCAAGATTGACAATTTAGTAGTTCAGTACAATTAGTTCAGTACAATTAGTTCAAAGCTCAGTCAATACTTTAGTATACCAATATAATATAAAAATTAAATGTAATTTCTTTATATATATTTGATATAGTCAAATGAGATTATATGTAAAGAATAAATACAAAATTATAAATATAAAATTACTTATTATAAAATTATAAATATAAAATTACTTATTTAATTACTTATTATGAATAAAAAAATAATTGTTTATATCATAAATATAAAATTACTGTATATTTATGAAAATAAAATAAAATAAGACAAATTGTGCGATAAGAAAAAAGTACAAAAAGTACATTTAATAATCACAAAAAACGGATACATTAATTTTGATACAAAGTAACGTATGCTTACATGTATCTTGAAACATTTCAATTAAATCAACTTGAGTCTTCTTCCGTTGTACAATCGTGGAGAAAAAGATTGTCTATTATTCTTGGGTTTCAAAACGCATCTGTCTTATCCAATATATGAAAGAATTCTCCCATAGAAAAACAAATTATTCCATTGAACGAAACAAGATGCGTTCTTAAATTCATGCAAAATTTTTTAATTAATTAATAACTACAAATTTACCCAAATAGATTAAAAAAAACATTATCATATTTTAAGGTCTTGCATTTTTATGAAAAAATATTTTTTGACTACGATACAAATAATTTATTGTAAATTAACCTGAATAGAAATAGGCGAAGAAATAAGTTAAGAAGATAAATTGTATATTACGTTAATTTACGACAAATTATTGTTAGAATAAAAGGGGAGTACATGGAATACCTAACAAATTTGTTTGATCGATTGCTAGTTTATGGATATATACTGTTACTTTATGGATATATATATATTTTTATTTTAACATATTCTGTATGTGTGCAAAAATTTTTAGCATGCATTTTCTCACTTCTGACGTCATTAAAAAGAGATAGATAATGCGAGAAGTCAGGAGCCTTAATGAATATAGCAATACACTATGATTAATATGATTATATAATGATATTAAAAGGTAAATAATTGTTGATCAATACCAGTTACAGTAGATAAATACATATAATAAATATATACACAATAAGATCAATAGAAAAAATATATATTTTTTATCATACTTTCTAAAAAATATTATCTCTTACATCTTGGATGAAATATCGATTATTGATTGCAGAGATTGGGTGACAACAGTAAATATACATATGTTTATATACAATAATATTTATTTAAATATGCTGTTTTTTACTTACAAAATAACTATTTTTGTATCTCTTCTACTTGTTTCTGAAGTAATAAATCTCCTTTAGGTTTCAATTTACTGTCTAAAATTTGCTGTCTTCTTTGGTCTTCCTCTTCCTGCATTTTAGCATGTCTTTCAACAGCAAAATCTATTTCTTTTACCAATTTGATAATTTTTGCCTATAAATCAATACAATAGATAAAAATAAATAACCAACAATATAATTCTCATTTGTCACATACCGCATATTCTCGTTGCTTATCTAATCGTATTTTCTGTCTTACTCCAAGGGGCACAGGCTTCCCTATTTTAAATGTATAATCTGGTAAATTTGTCAGTGGACCATAAGAATTTGGATTAACTGTTAATCCACGCCTAAAAGCACACAAGTTATTATTAAACCAACTGCTAATATAAATATGTTAGATATTATTATCTAATACGCTAATAATTATCTTAACTAATTTATGAAAAATCTGTGAAAACAATATTTTCTATACTCATAAACTAATATAAATATTTCTAAAAATCATACTTCGCTCTCCATCTTTGATTTAAATGTTGCACACAAGATTGATGAAATCCATTAACTATTATATTGTAATTATCTGTAATAACAAATAATAAAAACAGCGATCTTGAAACATGCTTGCAGTTTATAATTAACAACCGATTTCGTTACAGAAAACACATTTTTAAACATACTATATATTACAATTAGTGAAGAAAAACAACAATGTTATAACCATGATTAATTTTCTTTCTCTGATAATACTAACTTATATATCTTCCAACGCGAAATATGACTTCAACTGTCGACATCATACTCAGTGTCAATATTTTATTAAATCAATTATAACGATCTTTCGTGTAGTTTTCTTTTTTGCAGGCTAGGTTAGGTTAAAAATACTAGACGTAAAAACTGCATACCAACCTACTATTTCATAGAGATATCAAACCGTATTTAGTGCCATGAATTATCCTTTCTAGTTCCCTAGGAATTACTATGGGTGCTTTCCAATTGCTTAACACATCTTGACACACACGTACATAAACCAGTTTATTGGTCACATATTATCTAAAATATCTTGTAAAATAATATGCAACCAATAAACTGGTTTTGTGTAACACAGTGTACGCAACTGGAAAGCACTCTATGGCTATTCGGGTGGACCCGATTGACCACGATTGGACACAGATTGTAATGATTGGTTCGACCTAGTAATTCACTAGATAATTCTTTTCATCGGTTGGTTATGTCCAATCGTACCGTGGTCAATCGGGACGCTCCCGCAACACTCAACGGAAAGAACAATTCAAGGAGTGCTTAATGATTACCACTCTTGATTGGTATATACTTTTGGATCTATCAAGAATCTAAGAGAATGCTCTAATCACAGACAATCACTAAACGCTCACTAAGCTATTTTTTGCGCTGATGTGGTCTTTGCCTGCGGCTCTATTCTATAACTTTCTAACGACAATAATATCACTAGCATAACGTATCGTTACCATTGGTTGCGTTCAGCAGAGAAAAATTGCTTTGCAACTGTTGTAAAATTCGTGAATCTGATTGAAGTATGCTCTTAATTTTGGTTGAATCCAAGAGCATATACCAATTAGATTCACGAATTTTACAACAGTTGCAAAGGGAAGCGTTCCGATTAACCACAGTACGATTGGACACAACCAACCGATGAAAAGAATTATCTAGTGAATTACTAGGTCGAAACAATCTGTGTCCAATCATATCGTGGTCAATCGGGTCCTACCCGTTGCAAAGCAGCTTTCTCTGCTGAACGCAGCCATTGGTCTGTTCATTTTAACTGCACTGCTGAACTGGTGCAATAAGTTAAAATGTGAAAACATATACTTGTCTCACTTAACTTATTGCACCAATTCAACAGTGCATCTGAAGAGAAGGGGAGCCTATTACAGTTCTTGGACGAATTTACTCACTTTTCGTATTATCATTTCACGTGACATTGGCTGCATTCAGCAGACTCAACAGTTGCACAACAGTTGAGTAATTTGTCAATGTAATTGGTCTAGATTTAGGGATCTAATAGCAAAAACCAATAATCGTTGATTGCTCACTGAGCGCTTTTTCTACTGAATGCGCCCATTGGTCACCCAATTATAGAACTGTTGAGTGAAAATGTGAAATAATTAGGCATTTCCGGCCTAGTGATCTCACATTTTCACGAAAAAGGTCTGCCTATAATCCAAATAAACATAGATATAATTGCTGTATAACATAGAGATAAAAAAATATAACCTTCAAAAGTGTCAAAAATTATATTTACTTGTAAAGACTGCGAAATTCACTTTCCGGTATATTAAAGGGATCTAAGGGATCTCGCAATCTTCTTCTTATTTTCTGCATTATGTTATCCCGATATACTATAAATAAAACTATCATTAAATTTTCCATTGTACGTTCTTCCCGTTATTAGATGATTACTTATATCCGTTATTAAGTGATTTTTTAAGTGGTTTAGGTCCGGTTGCACCAACGTTATTTTGGCTTTAAACGAAACTTAAACATATATCTATCTTTATCTTTCTTTCTAAATAAATAAAGACAGACATATATTCAAGTTTCGCTTAAAACAGACATATATTCAAGTTTCGCTTAAAACTAAAATAACAGTGCAATAGGGCCTTAAGTCTTCAGTCTCAAGAACTAATTACAGTAGATTATTCTCTAAAAATTTTACTGTAATCGGTTAGTTTTTAAGACTTAAAACTTTAATCATCTAATGTAGAACCGAGGTTAAGCTCGTTATTGCTTCTCGATTTCACCTTTTCGACATGAAATTTCGTGTCAAGTTCATTCACGCGAATAATCTCGTATTTTCGCAGGGTGAGATGAATTGTAATTGGGCGAGTTGCTCACTTTCACCTAATCAGAGAACCGTAATAATCCCCCAGACTGCAGATCTAGACCGAACGTTTGCCTTTATTTGAAGAGTGAGGGTAAAGTGCACATAAAAAAAAGATGCATTGCGTTTTGTGGGCATGCATTCTCTCATTCGTATATGAATAATGTGTGAGAAGTTATGTTGAGAGAGAGGTGCGATTAAAATTTACGTGACATGAACTATAGATAAATGCGCGCATAATGTGTAAAACGGAACACAACCATATATATATATATATATATACATTACCGATTATATACATGATAAAACATATAAAACAAGTCAAGCTAACTTTTACATAGATATAAAAAAATATTCCACATCTTTATATCGATATTACATGCTAATTAATATTTCATATTTTATTATATATTCTAACATAAAATATAAAATATTGGAACAATCAACTTTGTACACCTGGAACACGATATAGAAACTCCCCATCATCGTCATAATAACAATCACTAATTCGATACGTCATGCCTGGTTTATAAATGTTCTTCGTGATTTTTATTGGTTTAAGATAATTGCCTTCAATGTCTATTTTCTTCTTCCACACTTTGATGCATGTATCCTTCAGATTATCATCTGCTGCAACATCCGAATCATTATCTTCATACTCTGAAACTGCAAAATTATTCTCTGCATTGGATACTGCAGCAATTTCTGTAGTCTGCCTCTCTTCGATGGCATTTATATGATCCTTGTATGCATCCATCAAAGTGGTACTCTCTTCTGGAGACATATTGGATATATCCTTCAAACTTTCCTTTAAAAACTCATTGAATGTAAATAATTCATTTTCATTCTTCTTGTGTTTATTGTTATTCTTGTCATATGACACTATACAATCCTTATTTGAATCTGATTGTAATCTCAATATGGAATTTTCCTTCTTATTTGATGCAAGTTGCTCTACATCCCTAGCAACTACAGGGCTATTATCAATTGTAACACCTGCAGCAAGTAAATTCTGATGTCTATTTGGACTATTGGATGTATCAAATGTTCTACTTGGATCATCCTTTTGTGACAATAATTTAGTATCATCTTGCTGCTCATTCAAGTAACCCTGTACAATGCTGGAAAATAATTTCTTTTTTGGTTTCTTGAATGTTGGTTTAGGTGGGATAAATTTCTTTGCCAACAATTCTTTGTCTATCCTAACAAACTTCCTGTCCTTAAATTTCATCAGATGTTTATGTAAAATAGGACTCACTGCAAGCTTGCCTTTACGAAACTTCTTCCAATTTTCGATTGCTGTGTCATCATATCGTAAAATATTTTCTACTGATTTTGGTGACCACTTAGAATCTAAAATCTTCTGTATTGCTTCTGGTAAAGCAGGAAAACTCTCACTAAGTCTCTCTATTGGCCACTGTTCAGGTTCAGATTCATGTAACATACGGATTTTTTCCTTTTCTTCATATGTGATGAAACGTGGGTCGTTCTCTTTAAAATATTTCTTAGCGACAATTTGCCGTTTAAGACGTTTTTTATTTAAGGCCATTTCACTGAAAAATTATGTATTTATAATATTCTATGATGATATAAAGAATATATTGTCATACATTGAACTTAATATATACATAGATTTTAGAAAATAGATATTAATATTCTATTCTTTTTTATTCATATTCTTTTTTATACATTAATTAATATATAATAATGTATAATATTGACTTAATAGTACTGATCTCATATTAAATTAATAATCATATTCAACATAATAACCTCATATAAATTAGGTTAAGTAAGTTAAAATTACATGAACAGAAATATCGAATACATTATGAATCATTGAATGAAATATATATATTATAGTATGGAATATAAAAATTATATAAATCTTACATATATACCTTTCATACATCTTATGGCTCTCACCGATATTCATAAAGTCTGCTTCGAATTCACTTATGTCATTTGCATCAAGTTCTTCGAAGTCACTTGACTTATCCTCTTCTACTAATTTCAATCTGTTACGAATACCAGCGAGACTGTTTGTCGAACGACGTTTTGAGCTAAACATTCTACGCAATACACTTGCCATCATAATACTTCTATTTGTTATATTCATTACGGATTCAATATTACGGAGTTTTGAAGGAAAAATTTACAATCTTTTACTAGTGATACCAAAGACATAAAGAATAGACTGCATCCCGAAATTCACTGTCAGTACTGAAAATCTATAGTTTATGTCACGAATATTAGAATTTCAGGAGTGGAGCCCGATTGACCACGATACGATTGGACACAGATTGTAATGATTGGTCGAGAGCGTCCCGATTGACCACGGTACGATTAAACACAACCAATCGATGAAAAGAATTATCTAGTGAATTACTAGGTCGAACCAATCATTACAATCTGTGTCCAATCGTACCGTGGTCAATCGGGGCTGCGTTCCGAAATTCACTGCCAGTACTGAAACTCTATAGTATATGTGACATGAACTATAGATTTTCAGTACTGGCAGTGAATTTCGGAACGCAGCCCGGGACGCTCCCGAATTTCAGCACTAGCAGTAAATTTCGAAAAGAAGTCTTAGGGTACTATTTCACATGTCGTACGACAAGCTTTTCGGATATGTTTATTGGTTAGCAAATAGAGTTCTAGGTTCTCTGTTCGTCAACCAATGAACGTATCCAAAAAGCTTGTCGTACGACACGTGAAATATCAGCCTAAAGGTTCCTTTACATGGGAGCCTCGAGTGTCAAGCGTTAAAACGGTAGCCAATCAATGTGTCACTTTCTGCAAGAACTACAAGTATACTTCTGGGACCTGATACGTTGATTGGCTAACGCTTTAACGCTCGACACTCGGACCCTTAGGGTGGAGTCCCATGGCATGTATTTTCCGCGTATCGCGTAAGCGCATAACCCATAAATTGCGACGTATAATATTTCTGTTGAAACTTCTAAAAGAATAGAAAGATGTGATTGGTTATGCGGTTACACGTTACGCGAAAATACATGCCATGGGACTCCACTAGGATGCCCGATTCTGAATCGATTCGATTCTTTCTCCAAAAATAAGCTTATTCGTGTTGTTTGCATTCTTCGCACTTTTTATATTTAAAACTAGACAAAAGAATATTGAAATGTTTGGAAGAAGCAAAAGCAAGACAACCAACTCGATTGTTTCTTCCAAGCGTCTGATTAGGCGTCCATCTCTTTTTAAAAGTGAAAAGTATGAAACATGCAAGCAGCACAAACAAATCTTTTTCCCTAAATTTGTTAGGGAAAGAATCGAATCGATTAAAAATCTGTCATCTCTAGACTCCATCCTTAAGCTCATATCATACTACCGACTGCACAGGCCGACCCGACTGCCGACTCTCAATGGACCAATCACAGTGAGGCGCGGAGTCAGGCGGAAATTATTCTTCTATAATTCGATTATGATTGGTTAATTTTTTACGGTTCCAGCATAAGTTAACGGATTACGACCATCATAAACCAGCCTTAACTCTACTTGATTTAACGTAGACACCCATTGGTAAATTGCTTAACTGTTGTGCAACTGTTGAGTTCGCTGAACGCACCCACTTTCTCAACTAGAACAAACAGTGCAGCTACAAAGAACAGACCTATAAGCTTATTGCACTAGTGTAGCAAAGCAGCTGAAAGTGGTCTGTTCTTTTCAGCTGCACTGCTGAACTGGTGCAATAAGTTAGAGTGAGAAAAAAATATACTTGTCTCACTTTAACTTATTGCACCAGTTCGGCATTAGCTGAAAAGAACAGATCATAGAACAGACCACTATAGTGTAAACTTGCGAGCCGAAACATGGCGGATGTTTTGTTTGTGTGCGCAAGGATGGTCACGCGCGGTATGCGCGATTGGGTTTTTATTACGGTGAGCGATAACGCCGCATCGGTGGTGCAAAAAATTGCATGAGCCCGGCGACACAAAGTAAGTCGGGCGCTAAGCGAAGCGACACGGACGATGAACGCGACGAGCCTGTACGTGTCGACGTGTCGACTGGTACTGCAGGCGGACGTCGACGATCTGAACTCTTGGACGGACCTTTATAGGCTAGTCCCATATTTACGGCAGAGTCTCAGCTGCACCGTGTGTTCTAACCTGCTGATCGAACCGCATACTCCGACCGAGACCAACTGTCAACATCACGTATGTCGTGGCTGCCGCGGCGGCCGCAAAAAGCTCAAGCCGTCGTGCGGTTGGTGCAAGGACTACGAGAAGTACGTGGAAAATGTGCAACTGCGTATACTGCTACAGTGTTACAAGAAGCTGTGCGAGTACCTCACCAGCACCGGCATCTACCGCAGCTTGGTACACTCCGTGTCAGCGAGTGGTGCGACCAATGGCGCGTCCACCATCGGCGCCAGCAGTCTTATGGAACTCATCCAGGAAGGTGCAGGCTTCAAAGATGAGTTTAAAAGCAATGCTGGCCTGTCCAAATCAGCGTACAGCATATTACCGTGCGTCTATACCAGCACCACCTCTACCCAGACCCAGGCTAATAGTGTGCAAACTAGTGAGACGATGTCCCAAAATATACCTGGTGTGTACAACAAACCAGTTTATTCCAAACAAAACGTATTGAGTTCTTGTGGATAAATGAGAAAATAATAACAGTATAACTAAAGATAATAAAAAGAACTAAAAAGAGAATTAAAAATAATAACAAAAATGAGATAAATAATATAAGGGATACATATACAAGATGTTTCTGAAATATTATTCAGTGTTCTAGAAAGTGATTTTTGAGATTATTATGTGAAAACAAGTTTATATAAATATATAATGTCAAAGCTTTGTTTCAAAGAGTGATATAGGATGTAACAGATTCTATAAAATGATTATTTCTTATTAATAGATCCTGAATGAAAACAGACTTTTTTCTTAAATTCGGATCAGTAAATAGGCAGAGTATTATTTTTATTTTATTACTAGTAACCATTGTCTTAGAAAATTGTAAGAAATCAATAATATAAAAACAAAATTTAATAGATTTCAATAAAGTCATTAGCTTAGAAAATATGTCTTATTATATATTGTTTTCCAATATATTATTATGTATTGTTTTTCAATATAAAATTTTTAATAAATTTTTAATCTGTATCTCTGAAACAAGACTCTAGTGGCCATATATTTATGTAAACTTTTCTTCATAAAATAACATCAAGGAAGATTCCTAAAATATTGTGAATAGTATTTAAAGAGTTTATTCACTTAAACCAAAAAGTTTTTAAAATTATACAGAATCGTATAGAAATTTAATATGATATTTGTCACAGCAAAACACATTTGTAGTTAAAGTTTCACACAATTTGTCTGTACTGTTCATGAAATTTAATACTGAATATTGCAGTTTTGCACATATAGCTTTATAAAAGTAATAAAAATATATGATCATTATTCCAGTATAACTTTCTAAAAAAATACTATTTAAATAAAAAACACTATTATAATTATTATATATTAGAAAACGCGCCATAGAAAAAAGAATGGCATTTACTACACTTTTTTTATGATCGATTGTGGACAGGAAAACTGCTGTTTTATGCTTTGAATAGCATTGTACTGAGTGAAACGTGACATGAAATAGTTTTAATTTAACATTTACTATTTAAATACTGAATTACATGTATAGAAATGTAATTTTATTTACTAAATATTAGATTTATATATATGAGATACGCCCTTGATGCGCCACTAAAAAGTACACCCCTTGGGTATTTTGAAAATATATACTTGGTGAATAAACTCTCTAAGAAACAGCATGTATATGGAACCATATACATAAATAAAATATATACAAGATGTTTTTTTAGTAAAGATGGCCAATCTCTTAAGGATATATAAATTAGGTGAAAACTCCATTAGTTCATATAAATTGTTTTCCCATGGCTCATCTTTGCTAAAACATTCTAAAGTTAGAATTTAAAAGGCTTCTTCTAAAAATAATTTTTAATTTTATATTGTTTCTCAGATTTTAATAATCTTTGTATCATTTTTATACTAAGCGAAAGTTGTTGGAATGGTTTCATACATTTTTTGATATTACGTCAAAAAGTTACGAGAAGCAAGTCGAATTTCTTAATCTTCAAACTTTGAAGTGGGTAGGGTTTTTTAATTTTTTAATACTCTCTTAAATTTCTCAAACATTCCTCTAAAAAAAGATACTCTTATTTAATTTCGAAAAAATAAATCATTTTCGAGAGAAATGCACTTAAATAGTGAAAGATTAAACTTTATATTAGAGAATGATTTCACGTGAAAAAAATTGAACTAAGTTAACTTTAATTGACAAGAAAAAAATTTATTTAAAATCATTACAAATGTTCGAAATGAATATCTTCTAGAATATTATGGTAAGTTCAACAGTCCTCAATTCGTCTGCACGAGAATACGTTAGAACATAAAATGCTCATATTGAATATTTGTTATGATTTTAAACATTTAATTTCTTTTCAATTAAATTTAACTTAGTTTAGTTTAGTTCAATTTTGTTTCACACAAAATCATTATTTTATTGTTTGAATAAAGTTTTACCTTTCAAATGCGTTTTTCTTGAAAATTGTTCACTTTTTCGAAATCAAATAAGAATATTTTTTCTTTAAGTTTGATAAATCTAAGTATATAAAAATTGAAAAATTCAACTTTATTCCTAAACTCAAAGTTTAAGAATTAAGAATTTTTACGGCAATTTATCCTTCAATCCTGATGTATTAGGCATATAAATTAATTCTCGGCCTTTTTGGTATAATTTTAATATTTATAAAAAAATGTATAATTACCTAATCTTCAAAGTAATCTTCCTCACTTTGTACGCATTTCGGCCATCTCTCAGGCAACTTTCGAATACCGTCTCAGAAAAAAGATGATGGATTTTGACCGAATAAAGTTATCAATGGTTTTTTTGACTTCCTCGAGAGATCGAAAGTGCGAATCGGCCAGGGTGATGTTGTAGTGACCAGAAAAGGTGATCGTCTGAAAGGGCGAGGTTTGAAGAATACGCCGCGTGAGGGATATTTCCCAATCCAAGTTGGAGATAACTTCCATGGTCACTTTTATCGTGTGTGGTCGCGCGTTGTCGTGCAGTAAAATCACTTGCCTATTTTCATTACCGATAAAAAGGTTTTTTTTTTTCAATCGCGTCACTTAATTTTATCATTTGCTCCTGGTAATGTTTAGAAGTATCAGTTTCACCGGATTTAAGTATCTCGTAATAAATAACACCTTTGAAATCCCACCAAATATGCAATATTTTTTTCCAGTGAATGTTGAGTTTCGCAGTATTTGTTGATGGTTGACCCGGATGAACCTATTTTGTCTCTTAGGATTGTCATACAATATCCATTTTTCATCCTCAGTCACAATTTTATGCTAAAAGTCCTTTTGTTTAAATCGTGACAGAAGGGACATTGCCGTACCACAGTGTCGAATTTTGTTTTCAGGTTGTGAGGAACCCAACGAACTTCCTTCTTCCGAGCTTCTTTAAACGTATAGAAATAGCCAGTTGAGTGATTCATTTCTTCAGCAAGCTTCTTTTATGTTTGACAAGGATTTCCGTTGAATAGTTCCTCTAATTTTCGTTGAGTAGTTCTTCAATTTTTTTTTTATTGTCTATGGCGTTCTTCATCCTGCAGATCAAAATTTCCATCCCAGAATTTCTGGAACCACTTTTTACACGTAGGACACATTCTCGCCCAAGGCCGAACAAATCATTTCTTATACTTCTGCAGCATTTTTTTTAATAGCATGTTCGACTGGCTCTGGGTTATTCAGCCTACGTTTATTGGTCGAACAAGTACTTATAAGTTTTATGATTGGCTAGTAGAAGCTTATGACGTCATTAATCGCTCTCGGAGCGATTAACCCAGGGCCAGTTGAACACGCTATAAGTTGGAATGCGAAAAGGAGGCAGTGCCTCAGGGCCCCTATTCTTCAAATTTTTGCGTATACGTAATTTTCATTGCGCAGCTATTTTATGGTATGATTAAACTGCGCAGTAAAACTTACGTATATGCAACTATTTCAAGAATAAGGGCCCAGGTGTTGCTTTTTAAACGACATTGCTTTTACTACTATTTTTTGAGGTTATGTCAATAAAACCATCAACTATTATAACCACAGATTTCTATAACTACTAGACTGACAACTCCCTTACATAGTGCTATGTAAAATTGAAAGTATCACGCACGAAAAAAAACGCATCTGCGCATGCTCTTCTGGTGGTTCAGAAGAGGGGATATAAACGTAATATGGCCGATGCCGCCTGCTTAAATATTTGTGTACATACAAAGTGAAAAACGTCAGAATGAAATACGTTATAGTAAAAATTTTGTAAAAATAAGTGATTGATTAATTGTATACCTACCTACATCAGAGTGCAATAATGTCTAAAACGAGATGCTACATTGTGAATGTTGGACCACCAGATAAGCGCATGCGCGAGATTTCTGTACATATTTTTCGAGGTTATGTACTGAGTCGGAGTTAGAGAGAGAGAGCAGTCTAGGGCGCGTTCCATTACACGCTCGCAACGATCGCGAACGTTATTCTATCTTTGTTGCTCATGGGCCCTTATTCTTAAAATAGTTGCGTATACGTAAATTTTACTGCACAGCTATTTTATAGTATGATTTTATGGTATGAACCTGCGCAGTAAAACTTACGTATACGCAACTATTTCAAGAATAAGGACCATGGATGTTAAACGAAGATAGAATGACGCTCGCGAACGTTGCAAACGTGTAACGCGCCTCTAGTAGTATATAGAAGGTATTAGGCGACAATTTTCCGAAAAGTGGAAGGGATAATGTTGGTACCAAGGAAAATCTCTACACGATATAATTTAAAGGCCTATTCTTTGTAACTGCACTACTGAACTGGTGCAATAAATTGAAGGGAAACAAGTTTCTTCTCACTCTAACCTTTTGCATTAGTTCAGCAGTGCAGCAAGAACAGATCATTAAATTATATCGCGTAGAGATTTTCTTTAGTACCAACATTATCCCCTCTACTTTTCGGGAAATTGTCTAACCTATAGAAGTATGTGATTATAGCTTATTTTAAAGCTTAGAGATGACACTTTAAAACGACTATTCAATGGGGAAAATTTTTCAACTTGAATGGGTACTGTAGTCGATTTAATGTAGGGACCGAGAATTAATTTATACACCTAATAATATCAAAGGATGGTATCAAACCATCCTAATAACCTATGCTATTATAAAAATAATACAAAGATTGTCAAAATCTGGTAAGCAATATAAAAATTATTTTTAAAAATGTTTTTTAAATTCTAATTTTGGAAGTGAATATTTCAGCAAAACTAGGCTGTAGGAAAGCTGTTTATATGAACTTATGAGATTATTTTTACTGAATCTGTATGCTTCTGAGACATTTCCTACCTTTGCTGAAACACCCTGTATACCTGTAGATATAGCTTGCGAGTATATGTAAGTAATTTCCATTGTATATTGTTAAACTAGAATCGCCGACAATCCGGACTGTGTCGAACGGATCGTCCATATATTCCGTGATGTACGCCGGTTCCGGTAACAAGATCACGATAAAACGTAAGGCGGCAGCTACGGAGGACACGGAGACGGGACAGCAGGAGACGGACGGCAGTCAACACAGCTCTGTAGGAGGGGTAAAATGCATTCCGTCTTCCCACCTTAAATATGGGACTGCCTCTCAGAAAAAATCTTCAAAGGGCAGCAAAGTAATTTCAATAGATATTCGGTTTATCTTACACCTCGCAGAACTTATATTGTACTGCAATCTTTATTTAAATGCTTAAAGATGTCTGTCCTCGTTGTTAACATCTCCAAGGTACACAATAATTCTTCTGACTTCAATTAACAATTACAGTTGAGCGTATATATATTTTCGATTAACATTTATTATGTAATTTTTTTTAATTTTTTAATCTTTCATACTAATCTAGTTTTAGAGAAGTCTTGAGTTGCGAGTTCTCCTAGGTCCCATAAGAAAGATTAATGCAGACGTTGCCTCTTTGACTTTATATCCGTCATATTGTTCAGAGTGATGTCGGTTGATTTACTTCTGCATTAATCTGTGATACTTGATCGTACGGTTACCAGTAATAACACGATCGCTTTGTTATAAGCAGTCCTCAGGAAGTTTTAAAAAGCCACGATCGAGTTCAGCTAGGAGTAAAAGGAAAGGATGCAGATGTGGCAACGCCACCGCGATACCCGGGAAACTCACCTGTTGCGGTCAAAGGTGTCCCTGTTATGTCGAAAGTAAACCCTGTGTAGAATGTAGATGTAGAGGTTGCAGAAATCCTCATACAGCAGATGGATTGAAGGTATTGTGTCTAATCTAGTTTATCATATTAAAGTCTACACACCATATGTGTGTGTGTGTGTGTGTGTGTGTGTGTGCGCGCGCGTGCGTGTGTGTGTATTATGTATGTATGTATGTATATACGGGGTGTCCCAGGCTCTCTTCCGCATATTTTGTGGAAACGTAGAACGAGTTGAGCTGAACATAAAACTCTTATATCGTTTCGCGATATTCGCAATAATAACCGAGAAATTAATTGCGAAAGATTAAGGAAAAGCGAATGCTGAATGGTGGACGGAGCGCTTGCGTCACAGCGCGGTCCAGTAGTATAGTGCGTGGATGTCGGCGCGCGGTGATTAGAAAAACCATATATGTAATACTACTATATTGCTAATCGCTCTATGCTGCCTATAAGAGGAGCTTATCCCCAAAATGAAAGGATAGACGATGTCCGAGGAGTGTATTTTGACCGTAGTGCGCAGATGATTGTGTGTGTGTGTGTGTGTATAAAGTAAAAGTGCCAGTGCGTGACATGTACCCAACCTGGACAGCTGCTTCCTTGTGTAAACTGATATTTTCATTTGCAGCTGCTTTTTTCGCATAAATAGCATCTTCGGGTGTTCATGTTTATAGCATATGGTATATATAACCTATTACATGCAACTTTGTACAATATATTTTATTTTCCCATTATAGTGGATACAATCTATCTGACGCATGCACATAACGTTCATAATACACTCAGAAAGAGAGAGAAATATATATTCCCGCACCGTGATTCTGGGGCCGGACTTCTCTCTCATTTAGCAATATAGTAGTATTACATATATGGGAAAAACAATGCGCCATTGCTTATGCTTATATTGCTACACTCCTACATCTCGCTTCGGCGCGATGCGGCAAGATGTAGGATTGCAGCAATATAAACATAAGCAGTAGTGCGTTGATCTACCACTCGCCGGGCGCTGACATCCGCCTGCTATATTATTGAATCGCGAGAGCTCCTCCTTCAATCATTCCATGCGTTTTTCCTTAATCTTTTACAATTAATTTCTCGGTTATTATTGTGAATATCGTAAAACGGTTTAAAACTTTTATGTTCACTTCAACCCATTCTACATTCCCACAAAATATACGGAGGAAAGTCTGGGAGACACCCTGTATATACGCCGCTAAGCAATTGAATGTGCAGTCGGTAACTCGTCTCATATGGTAAAAAGCACTCGTTAATATTCACGCTGTATATCGAGATACGCCTTGCATAATATTCTCGTATACTTCCAGATCCGTCCACACATACCTGAACTTCATAATTTACAACTACAATTGTCCACCTCTTTGGATTGTGACGCGCTAAGCGGAGATCCTCTCGGAACTGTGCCGCAATGTCTTTCAACGTCTCCTACAACGATACAAGTTCTAAATGTATACTCTACTCCGAGACTAGACATTGACAATGTACCACAGAACTTACCTGCCGCGCTATTAGTGGGAGAGGACGCTATGGTTAGTACTGAAAGTGAAGCAGAAGACAGCGATATACAAATTGACGTGTGACAAAGTATCTAAATAGATAGTTGTTACAGTTGACCGCATGCAACCATGTCGAAGATTAGAGAGTGACGAGTGAAAATTTGTAAATAATGAAAGAAAATTTAATGCGCTTGTAAATCTCGACTAGATATATCGAGAAGAAAATAACATAAAAATCAAAAATATATATTAAAGAGAGCAAGAAAGCTCTATGATATATAATTGCAGTAAGAAAAGAGAATCTGATTATATGCATTTACTTAAGAGTCGTTCTACATTAGTTATAAGTCTCAAGGTCGCAAGAAAATTGACCAATCATGACCTTTCTACAATAAGCCGTTAGTCGTAGCCATGGACATAGTATACATGGACTCCGAATGCCCTATGTTCTGTCGTCTAATAGAGTGAAGCCAACATCTAGAAAGAGAACTAGAATAGAGGGGCTATACTTTTCTTCCTATTTTGTCACTTTTTTGTTGCATGTGCATTCATTTCTCGTTTCCATAATATTATAGAGTAACAACACCTCGACTAGACTGGCAAGTAAAAGTTTTACTTAAATTTTATTGCACACTTTGTCTGTGCAGAAAGAGGCAGAGAACACAGAAGAGCTGTACATATTGGCTTCACTTTTCTGGCCGTATGCGGGGTCCATGTATACTACGTCCACGGTCGTAACACAACGCATAACACATAAGGCATAAGAAAATCTACCAATCAGAATTCTTCATTTCTATTCTGAAGGACTGTAATTGGTGGACTTTCTTATGCCTTAAGTATTATGCGTTATGTGTTACGACTAATGGCTTAGAATGTGCTTAACAGTCAATTTTTCTTTGGTCGTAAGAAGAATGATCGACTGTGATTGGTAAATTTTCTTACGATCTTGCGATTTGCAACTAATGTAAAACCGGCCTAAGGATCATCTACAATGTAGTCGCAATTACTTTAAATTTAAAAATCGTAGCACTATGACTATATGTATGTGAATCGGTGTATCTATTTCCTTCGGCGTAAACTCGTCAAAATGAAAAGTTTCATTGACGAATTCAATCAAACTTTATTTTTCACGAATAAATAGATACATGATCGATTTACGAACTAGTTCTAAGACTTTAAAACGTGACTGCGACCGTATTGTAAACGATCTCTTATAATCAGGATTGGAAAAGTTACTTTTTCATTCGTTTTTCATTCGTTGTCGTTTCCGTTACTTCTTTTACCTTTTTCTTATAATTTCTTGAAATAAGTAGTATGTATATAATGAAAAGACTTATATTTATTAACATGTTAATATTTAAACTATCCCTATTTTGGAATATCTTGCAAATCAGTGACAAATATTTTCTACATGTAGCAAGTAACGATAAAATAACGGTTGTATTCGTTACCGTTATTATTACTAACGAAAACAAATATCAAGTTATTACTGGTAACGGTTAAAAGATAACGGTAACGGCATTACAAGTAACGCCTTACTTATTCAACACTGCTTGTGTTTTCGCTTGAGGGGTTATTCCTGAAACCCCAAAATGATAGATAATTCGAATTTTTACGAATTTTTTTCAAGGAAAGCATACAATATATAGTAAGATATTCATAAAATATTTTTATAAAACATAAAAACACAAACTTTTACAAAACGTCTACAAAAAAATATATTTTGCGTTAAAAAACAAAATGGCAGCAATGCAGCTAGTCAAAAATCCTGCAGCTAATATACATATTCATGGTTATTGATTTTGCAAGAGTCATTAAGAGCAAAAAACAAAAGAAGTTTTAAAATTTGTGATAAATTTACTAAAGAAACACGTAAGGATTTTAAAAAATATTAATAAATATGAAAATAATGAAAAATAATTAAAAATTTCCTTTTTAGCAAAAAATTTCATAACCAAATAATTTTTTATAAAAAATAACTATATATAATATATTATCTCAAAGTACTTACGTGTTTCTCTAATAAATTTATTATAGATTTCAAAACTTTTTTTGTTTTTTGCTCTCAAAGTAATGACTTTTGCAAGATTGATGATACAATGGATACATACATTAGCTGCAAAATTTTTGATGACTAACTCCAGTGCTGCCAGGTTGTTTTTAAAATATATTTTCTTGTAGACAAAAGTGTGTATTATAAGAACATTTTATGAATATCTCTCTATATTATATACTTTTTTCTTGACAAAAATTCATAAAATTATCTATCATTTTGGGTACAAAAGGATAGTGTAACTCTTTAAGCTGTAATCAGTCCTTTTCTTCTTATGTATATATTATATATATTATATATATATATATAAGTATGTATGTATATATGTGTATATATATGTGTGTATATATATATAAAAACACACATATACACACATCTACAAATTTATATTACTATATTAATTTAAGAAAACATTATATCATACATGAAATTCATGTATGACTTATCCTCTATTACCTGAATTATCTTATGTTATGATACGGAAGAATACAAAAATTTATTTAGATGTTAAGGCTCCTGATTACTCGCCCCGAAACTCTCGATTTATGATGTTAGAAGCAACAAAATTCACGCAAATTTTCTACAAAATACGTAGAAATAAAAAATATATCCATAAAATAACACTTGCAACTGATCGAACAAATGTGTATAATAGTCCAAATATTTTCATTTTGTTTCAACAATCGACGAGTACTCAGGAGACTCTAATCGCTATAACAATTAACTTCTGTCGCTGAAAACAAATGATGTAATTTAGCATCAGTTATTAACTTTATTTATTAATTTCATTTTTAAAGTTATGTGAAGGCTCGTATCTTCTGTCAAATAATATTCAGTTAATTGTATAGTATAAAAGGCAAGTTTCATGAATTATAAAAATATTATTCGCGTTTATATTCTGTGTTCAATGAAGCGATATCTCTGTTTACCTCAAAATATCTTCATAAAATTGGTAGTTAAGTGAAATGAAATTTCGTAGATCAAAGAAAAGAGTCAGTGTATCTTTGTTAGAATTGCTTTCGAGATTTGAAAATGTCACCTCTAATTTTTGTAACAAGATATAATTTATATGATATGCAATTATTTTATATTTATTTGTTATTTATTATATTTGTCATTTCTTTTTACAAGCCGATACTTCTAATCATTCTATATACAAAAGGATTAAAGCAATATTAAAAAACAAATATTTTACAAGGTATCTTATCTCTTTTATATCAGAGAGAGAGTAGCAGAATACAAAATTTAAATATTCTATTTCCTAAAGTGAATCGAAAATACGAATATACGAAATATTTCAACATTTACAGCATTGATATAAAACATGAAACATCTCATACAAAAGATTTAATTTATTATAGTATGTTATGCAAAAAATAAGAAAATATTTACATGTTTAACTTAATTTTTTACAAACATTGTGCCTGCAACGCATGTAATTGCACTTTATATAATGACTATAAAATGCAATATTTTACGCGATTTATTATTTTATACACTTTCCTATATAAAAATGTTAATGTTAATTTCGATAAGTGAACAAACTAATCATAAAATAATTCTTTTGAAACGGAATATTCTTAATCCAATATATATCTCCCATTAACTATTATAGTTAATAGTTTCAGAAACAATGAACAGAGTTATTGCTATTTATCTATCTTACGTACCTCATGAATACGCATCTGTACATAGAATAGATTTTCTCTTTAATATATATATGTGTGCATATAAACACACATATATGTGTGTGTGTATATATATATATATATATATTTGTTTGTACATATACGAGATGTTATTTTTCCCTCGTCTAAGTACATAGCGTTACTCCTTATGGAAAATGAAATTAGAAAGTCCTAAATAATTTGTTTCTACTAAACAGTATATTTAATAAAAGTTATTTTTTTAATAAATTCCAGCTAATCAGCGCCATCCTTTAGGCAGACGCACGGCTCACAGCATGCGCCTATCTAAAGGACGACGTTAGCTGAAATTTATTTAAAAATAATTGCTTTATTAAGTATAATAGAAAAAATAGCTCAGGACATTCTAATTTAATTGTCCATAAGAAATAACGCTATGTACTTAGTGGGCGAGAGAAAAATAATACCCTGTATATGTAGCAATACATATATATATTTTTTTTTTTTTAATTATGACTATCTTACAATTGAGCATTACCATATGCTAAAATAATATCCGTATAAAACCTCTATAAAGATAAACTGAACAATTAACGCGTTAAATTTAAACGTATAAGCCGATAAACGTTACATTTATATGTCAGAAAGTATCACGTTAACTTGCCAGTTGTACATACAATAACACAAGGACCGTTATCTATTTTACATACTGATTTTTTACAATCTTTAAGATTAGAAAGTTGAATATGCAGTGACAGGCTATTACACTTTCTTATAGTTTAAGAATGCATCGAAATATGTGAGTGACTGATGGAGAATTGCCTAAATAATTAACGCGGAAGATAAAGCGGTCTATACCTAGTCCAAATTACAGAAGCTTTTATATTTTCCTTTCGTGATAAGAAATAAAAAAAAAAAACGTTCAGAAAAATATAAATTTTTATTTGTCTGGCATTTAGCACAACAGTAAATTTATATAATTTAGCTAATGTATAGGCATGATATTACTGTACATTCAGTGAAAAGGAGACGGACCGATAATTCCATAAATCATGGAATGTATTATATTAACCCCTTGGCTGTGTGAAAGAATTCTACGTTCTGGGCCAAAAGTGTGTTGAAAAAAAGATTATTGGAAAATTATGAAACTTGGTATGCAGAAGTGACTTTTCTCGCTGTATCCGAATATCATATCAAAATTCAAAAATTCAAAATGGCGGATCCAATGTGGCGGACGATTTATTAAAATTGATCGGCTTGAAACTTGTCACTCGGGGGTTTTCGGAGTCGCTGATTACGAATCTGAAGTCAGATTTTTAAAATTCAAAATGGTGGATCCAATATGGCGGACCAATTTTATAAAAAAATATTGGATTTTCTTATAAATTGGTATCTAGGGGTTTTTGGGGTCGCTGATTATAAAACAGAAAGTTTAAAAAAAATTAAAATTGAAAAAAAAAATAAAAAATAAAATTAAAAAAAATGAAGTGTGAAATCCTGACAGCCTACTCGTGGCACATTCTGGGGTCGTGAATTCAATAAATTTGATATACAATGAATGTGGATTCACCAGCTAATGTCATTACATAAATTATTTTATTTTTGTCAAAAAGTATTCTATAACTATATGAATACGGCTTCAATAATGACCTGCAAGGTCTATTCTAAATTTTGGAATATTTGTTATATTAGGATTCTTCGAACCAAAAAAACAACAAAATACCAAATTTCATGAAAATCCGACCACTTTTGAAATTTCGATCCGCAATCTTGGATCCGCCATTTTGAATTTTGCATTTTTGATATCATATTCGGATTCAGCGGTACCAAAAACTTCCAGATACCATATTTCATGAAAATCCGACAACTTTTGTAATTTTATCCGCCATTTTGAATTTTGAAATTTTGATATCATATTCGGATTCAGCGGTACAAAAAACTTCCAGATACCATATTTCATGAAAATCTGCGTATTTTTTGTAATTTCGATCCGCCATATTGGATCCGCCATTTTGAATTTTAGATTTTTAATATCATATTCGGATTCAGAGCACCAAAAAACCTAAGGGTACCAAGTTTCAGAAAAATTGAAAATGTTTTACTAATTTTTTTTTATGTTGCGGCTATGGCCGCGCTTACACAGTTTTGGCCACTTCTCGTTCCGCGGTTATAGCCGCACTACACAGGCAACGGGTTAATTATGACCCTACCTCCTCTTCAGTGATTGTTCATATAAAAGCCTTTAATTCGATTTTTACTGTACATATTAAACACTTCAAAGCTGATTATATATATGTGTGTGTATATATACATATATATACATATATATACATATATATACATA